CTTCACAGGTGGGGTAAACGAGGCCTGGGAGGGGAAAGGATTTCCCTAAAACAAATTCCTTAATGCCCTCATTGCAATGCTTGTTCTGCCCGACTCAGCGGTTGTGCCTGGGTTTTCCTCTGCAGCACACTTGCTGTGGGAGAGATCCAGCTCTTCTCGGGGAGAGGGCAGGCGTTCTCTCCCCAGTCACGAGACCTGTGGTGCGGAATTCCGGGTTGTCGCATGGCAGCACATTATTTTAGGTAACAATGGAACCTCTGTTTCCGAAAGTGTTTCATGAGGCTCAGGACGTGCTCAGCATGCTGCCTGAGAGTCCGAGCTGATAGCTGGGCTTGGAGCAGGTCCAGGGCCGAGGAATCCTCCCCTTTCGGCTTCCCTGACCAATCTGCACCTTGTGCTCCAGGAGGCAGGATATGGGTGTGTAACTGCAGCAACGCCTGCACTCGGGCCCCTCCCATCGGTCAGGGGCCTTCCTTCCTGTGCTCTCTGCAGTCCCAGGGCTTCCTGTCAGGTCATGCCACCGGCTTCTTGTTTATCGCCCGCTGCTTTCAAAGAGTTTTTCATTCCAACTACTTTCTCCAAGTTCGAGGGTTTGTGAAGCGGAGACTAAGTTAAAGCCTCAATGCGCTGACCTGCTCGGCATGAACGGCTGCTCCACTAAGTTCACTCCCTTAGTTCGGAAGAGTCCTCAGCCTTTCAGGGCAGGACACTGGTCACCCAGAGAACTGGGTGGCTCCTCTGCTATGCATGTCGTTTCTAATGCAGTTGTTAGTTGGACAGAAAAGGAATGAGAGAGGTAAAGATGAGAGCGGGCGGGAAAGTTCTGTGGGCGACTTGTCCCGGTCCCGTGGGACTCTGTCCCTGGATGGTGCAGGAGCTGCCATCCTGGGGACCGACAGCAGGAACATGGTGGTGGTGGAGGAAGTGGGTGGGGCACAGGCGCTATGGAGAGAGGCGTTACCTTGATGGAGGCGCCCGCAAACCGAGCCAGCTGCTTGATGTGCGCGCCCTTCTTCCCAATGATGGCCCCCACGGCCTGGGTCGGGATGAAGAGATTCACGATCTCCTGCTCCGGGTACTGGAAGGGCAAGACAAGACAGAGACCTTCCCAGGGGTGGCTCCTGCAGGAACTTACTCGCCACCCACCATGGGCCACCTGGTGGGGTGGCCCCACCACCAAGAAGATGGCCCCAGTGGCGCCCGGACTCTTTGGGGGCCTAGAGCTCTGCAGGTATGACGCCTGCAGAAGGAACCTGAACGCAAGCAAGCACCATACGCCACTCAAAAGGCAAAGGCCTCCTGGGCACCTATCACCCGTTTGCTGGACACAGGAAGCCGTCCATTCATAGGTTTTCTGCCACAGACAAATGTGATTGTGTGGTTTGCCCGTCTCCAGCCAAGAAATCCATGAAATGGACTGGTCTGACGCGGGGCTGGGAGGCTGTGTCGGCGGGAACAAGACACTGCCCGCTGCCTGGCCGCCTTGCAGCTGGAAAGGCATTTCCACTAGACGGTGCCTGGCCAGCCGCCTGGTGACAGCCCAGAGACGTGGGCGAGGCCACAGGGGTCTGTGCCACGGGGTTCACAGAAATAAAAGGACCCCGTTCGCCAGACTTTGTTCAAAGATCTCTGAGAACTCTGGTCTTTAGCCCAACACAGCCTCCTGGTTTGACCTGCTGACGACTCATTCGCGCCACTTTTCGCACTGGCACCCACAGGCCTGTGAGCATTCCAGGCCATTGAGCGGGACAGCACCAGCGCGCCACGGGGTTCACAGAAATAAAAGGACCCCGTTAGCCAGACTTTGTTCAAAGATCTCTGAGAACTCTGGTCTTTAGCCCCACACAGCCTCCTGGTTTGACCCGCTGACGACTCATTGGCGCCACTTTTCGCACCGGCGCCCACAGGCCTGTGAGCATTCCAGGCCGTTGAGCGGGACAGCACCAGCGCGTTGAGGAGCCTTTGCGCACTAGAGCGGCCGGGTGCTGCTCGGACCCCTGTGGCGGGCCATTCCAGGGCGACCTGGAGCACAGCGCCGGCACCGCGAACATTCACCGCTCAGTCTGCTAGGGTGACGTGGTGCCAGCCACAGGCGAGGGGAGGGGCGGATGGGCTGAAGCGAGGGGCACTTACGGAGTGATGATGCGGGAACGGGCTGAACTGGTGAGGGGGGTACAGGCTGGAGAAGTATCCGGAGTGGCTCTGCAGCAGGAGAGAAAGGGCCAGTCAGCGGTGCCCTCGGGGACACTCACCAAACTCGGGGCAGCAAGGTTACCCCCGGCAACACAGGCTCCCTGTCCCACCGCACACCTTCCTGCGGCACTGGGAGCCCTGCACCGCCTTCCCCCTCAGAGCGCTGGGCCGGCCGAGGGTTTAGCATTTTTAGCTGAGATGTTTTTGACTCCTAGGAACTTATCACGGGAGTGAGCACACACGTGCGCATTCCCACTCCCCCCCTCCCCCTCCCCCCCACACGATGCAAGGAGTCACACAGAACAAGCAGAGACGCTCCTGGGAAATCAGATCAGTGAGCTCATCACAGCGTTTCAGAAGGAATGGGGAGGCTGAGAAAAGAGAAACTTAAAAACAGATTGAAGGAGGAAGAGAATGAATAAATACACGTGTGTGAGCGTGGGGAAGGGGAGGCAGGGGACAGGAGGGCAGATGTGGATAGAAGAAAATGGGCTTTAGGAGAATTACATTTAAAAGGAGCTGCTTTTTGATTGAAAACCTACTTGCACTAGGCACTGTGATAGATACTTTACATCTACTCTGAAACGCTTTTAATCCTCACAATAGTCCTGGAAACAGGAATATGTCTGATTTTATGTATATACTAGAGGCCCGGTGCACGAAATTCATACGGGGGGGGGTAGGGTGGTTCCCCTCAGCCCAGCCTGCACCCTCTCCAATCCGGGACCGCTGGCTCCTAACTGCTCA